CCCCTCTGCGCCTCGCCCTGCCGGCCCCGCCTCTGCGCCTCGCCCTTCCGGTCCCGCCTCTGCGCCTCGCCTTACCTGCGTCTCTCAAGCTTCGGGAGCCTTTTCCAGTAGCGGTTTCCAGCCCGGAGGCTTTAGCTTTAAATTTCCCCAAGAACTTTTTTGGGGGGGGCAATAGGTACCCTAAGAGGGCCATGGAGGTGGCATCTACGTGGACCCTTGCACTACCACCTACACCTGAGAGGGTCATGGAGGTGGTGCCTACATGGACCTTTGCACAACCACCTTCGCCTGAGCTTACCATGTCACTGGTCCCGTCCAGCCCTGTGCTCCCCACGTCTTGGTCCCCTGTTAAGTGTACTCTCCCCTGGTCCTGTGTTATGTGTACTCTGTCCTGTTCTCCTGTCACTTATGCTCCAGCCTGTCTTCCTGCCAAGCATGCTCCGCCCTGGCTACTTGCGGAGCGTGCCTCCCCGTGGTCTCTTGCCCTGCTCTGGTCTCCAGGCCCCAGGTCTCTCCATGGGCCTGGCCCCCTGCCTCTCCACGGGCCTGGCCCTCCATCCCATCCCCCGTCGACCTCCCTCCGGAGCTCTTAGGAGCGTCTGGAAGCCGCTCCTTAGAGGGGGGGTTATGTGACGATCTGCGGCTGGAGTGCCCGCTTGAGCCTCTGGAGGGCACTCCTTCCTAGTTTATTGTTTCCATTGTTTTACCCTGGACTGATTATGGTTTATTTGTTGCACCTGTTTTAGATTGAGCGTCCCTGATTTAAGCCTGAGTTTTCCCTTTGTTCATGGCTCAGTATTGTAAGTGTTTGTATGTGTCTCACTGCATCCTAGCGTTTTCCTAGTTTCCTAGCGTTTCCTTGTATTCTAGTGTTTCGGTTCCCTGATTATCTGCCTGTTCCCGGTTTCCCGTTTGCCTTATCCCTGCACGGATTTGATGTTTGTTTGGACTGCTTACCTGGTTTTGACCCCTGCCTGTTTCCTTGTACCTGTCTCCGGATTCTCCTCTTAATAAAGCCTGCGTTTGGATCAACTCTTTCCTTGTTCCACGTACAGTTCATGACAGATTGCTACAAAGCTGCACCCAGCTCTGTAACAGTGTTGTTGTTCTCTGCATTGGTGGTCATATTTTACTCTTAGTGTTAATGTTGTAACACTGTGTCAGTGTTGTGAGTGGAAACACTTTTGAAAGTGTTGAGATTTCCAGATTTAAAATTTACTGTCCAAATCCTGAAGGAAAATGACCAGTCCTCATAAAGGTCAGAGATATTTCGACACTACATCCTCCAACCAGCTTCTGCACTGTACAATTTCCAAATTTGCAAATTTCATATAAGTGATGTTGGTCATCTAAACATGAAATCTGTATGACACACTTTATATAACACGTATAAAAAAATGACACAAAATGTGTATAAATCCTATAGGACTTTAATTTGACTATAATATGATTCAATATAAGAACTTTAAATGATTTGTATATGAATTTAAGTTATTTTCTACTAATACCATATATGATTGCATATGTTTGTCATGTAAAACTCATATGATTCAATATAAGAACTTTAAATGGTTTGTATATGAATATCGGGTGTTTTCTACTAATACCATACACCATTGCATACTTTTGTCATGTACAACTCATATAAGACTTTTTACAGTATTCATATATGATGCAAAAATCCCCTATAAGTTGTATGTGTGCTATTTAGTATGAAAGGGGCCATAATCGGTCTGATTTTGTATAGGACATGTATTGGTCTTACATGAAACACATAAGGTAATTCTGTCCAATTTAAGTAAGGAAGATATATGGTTGCTGTATATGAACCATGCAGGTTTTTTTCATATGGGAATGTAATTCCTGATATCAAAAATTGCCATTGTTACTAGTAGAAATATTATTCCTAATATCAATAATTATCATTTTAACTAGTGAAAATTGAATTGTTGATATCAAGGATTCATATCCTGGAAATGAATAAAAGTTAAAACGGCTTGCCATAGTAGAGCAGTCTATTGTGTGACCGAGTACGCGTACCCAAACACCGCGGCGGATGTGATATAATAATGTAGCCCGACTACGCCACCCAGTTGAAGAGCTGGGACTCTATTAAATAAAATAACTTTAGCTTGCAAGTTCTTTTAGTTTGGTGGGAGCAACACAACAGAATTACCTAAACAACAGTTTAAATATAAAAATGTTTTTATTACAATCTCTGATTTCAATGATAAAAGGAAAGGGCACGCCGTGCACTTGCACACTCTCAATCAAACTTTTTAAAAAACTGGACATCGGAAAGATACATTCGCAAATTCACTGAAAGTCCGTAGTGAGGCACCCACAGTCCGTAAGCAGTTCCTCTAACCAAGTCCGCCTCGCACCGAACAGCGGCGTCTACACAGCAGCCCACCTGTCACTCACTCGTGCACATCAACACAACACTCACACAACAGAAAAAGAGCCGCCAGTATCTCCACAATAGATAAACACAGCATAAACACACCACGATAGAATAACTATTAATCGTGCAAAACTCAATTAGATCACTGCAATTCGTGAATATGTCAATATAGATAGTGGTAAGACTACAGTAGACAGACTGGAACTCTCCAATCTAGGTGAGACGTGGATCTTAATTCCGGACGAGGCAAGGCACACAATTTAACAAGGCGTCACTCACCAATAAACTGGGAGTAGACGAATCTAGCTCCCAGTCTTGTTGGACAACGCTCCACAACACCAAGACAGACGAAGCAGGGCTCCGGGCAGCACAGCAGCGATCCGAAGCGCAGCAGAGGCGGCAACAAACCAGCGCAGCTAAGAACAGCAGCGATCCCAGCAGAGCAGAGAACGGGAGAAATCCAGCCCAGCAGAGAGTGGTAGAAATCCAGCACAGCAGAAGTCCAACACCGCAGAGAACGGCAGAAATCCAGCACAGCAAAGAACAGCAGAAGTCCAGCACAGCAGAGAACAGACGAAGATACCAGCAGCCACCGGGTTGACAGCAAGACCGTCACTTCAACAACTTCAGCTTCAACGCGGCAGACAATGGTCAATACAACGGTCGGGGCAATAAAAAAAATAAAAAAACACAATCGCGACTACGTCCAGCAATAAAAAATGTGGAGAACAGGGCTGCACAACAGAGTTCACGGGTCACAGGCACACTGTTGTCAGTTCCTTGGCCTTTTTGAACGTCTATGATTTGACATTGCAATTACCAACAGCTGTCCATCTACTAATCAGCCGTGATCCGGGCTTCCGAAAAATACAGGGGCGTTACCCCACACTCTAAATCATGATCAAGTGTCACACAAATAAAGCGTGAATAATAAAACAAAATCACACCAAATCAAAAGAAAAAAGGAAAACAGTGTCAAATACACACACAAAAACACACATAAAATAAACCATAGTCTCTTCATATGACATCCCCCCCACTCTTTAACGTTGGCAGTCCCTGACAACCATAGGTATCCACATATCTAAGTGTCTCTACATCTCACAGGGGGCTGTCCCATATTGGAACGGACAGACCTCCTAGGGGCCACCTCATTACCTGGGTCATCTAGACCGACAGGGTCCACCCATGGTATATACATCAGAGGTTGTGATGCACAAACAGGAGGTACTGGCAACTCAGGATGCAATGCGAGGGCACCTTGGGGCGGATTGATGCAAGGTTTAAGAGAATTTCTATGCAGAACCCTCTCTTTCCCTGTACGCTCAGATTTAACACGATAGGTCAACCCCTCTTCATTCAACTGTTCCACTACTACATAAGGCTCTGGATCCCATTTACCGCAAAGCTTACCCCTTCCCCCATCTCGCCTATTCCTCCGCCACACACGTTCCCCAGGAGCTAAAGGAAGTGACTTGGCCTTGCGATCATATTGCTTCTTATACTGCTCTGCAGCCTGACCCATAAACTTAGCTGCTAGTGAGTAGGCATACAACAGGTGTTGATGGTGTTCACCCACCCAACTATCCCAGCTATATCGAGCCTGCTGGTTCTCTACACCCAGGGCTACATCCACAGGCAATCTGACATGACGCCCAAACATCAAATACGAAGGTGCATACCCTGTTGAGCTGTGTAAGGTAGCATTGTAAGCTTGAACAAGGGCAGGGAGATGTTCAGGCCAGCGACTTTGCTTCTCATCCTCTAAAGTCCGCAACATGCTCAGGAGGGTCTGGTTAAGGCGTTCACACATGCCGTTTCCCTGAGGGTGGTACGGAGTTGTTCTACTCTTCGAGATGCCATAAAGGCTACATAATTCAGCCACCAGCTGGGATTCGAAATTAGGGCCTTGGTCCGAATGAAACCTCGTCGGACACCCAAAGGTCTGTATAACCGATTGCCACAGGACCCTAGCGGTAGTCCTCGCTGTCTGATCTCTTGTGGGGATAGCCCAGGCATAGCGGCTAAACATATCCGTCATCACTAGAATGTTTTGATATGGGTCCTGGGGCCTTCCTAAGGAAAGGAAATCTAGCTCGATGACCTCAAGGGGAAAGGACACAGTAAAGGGCTTCAAGGGCGCTTTAGGCACAGCATCAATTTTTTTCATCTGACAACGGGGACACAGGGAGTGATATTGTTGGACCTGAGTCTGCATACCTGGCCAGAAGAAATGTCGACGTAGACAACTGATGGTCTCTATCCACTCCCAAGTGTCCAACAGCATCATGATGTTTCTCCCACACCTCTTTGCGCTGTTGAATAGGGCAGACAATCTGGAAGCGAGCTTCATGAGTGTTATAGTCAGTAATCCGACGACACAGAACCCCATCCCACATTACCAGCCTTGTCCTCTGTTGCAACAGCCGTTTCACCCCGAGCGAAGCAGCTCGCCACTCTTGTCCCACCGGAAACTTCCCACTTTCCACATACCTCCGCACTTGGTCCAAGTCCCTGTCCTCAAGCTGCTTGGCTCGCCAGCCGTCCATCGACTGGCCTTCTGTCGATGGTGCATCCGCCACAGCCACCACGTTAATCACATCAGTGCCCAAAGGGGTTTCAGGGTCAGGGTCTCCTCTATACGGGGGAGCGGAAAGGCATCTTTATAAGTCAGAGAGTTCAACTTGCGATAGTCAACGCAAAAGCGCCAACTGCCATCTTTCTTGCGAACCATCACAATAGGTGCAGCCCAAGGGCTGGAACTTGGCTGAATAACCTTCTTTTCCAACATATCAGCTAGTAGGGTGCGCATTTCTTGGTACATCATAGGTGGTAGGGGGCGATACTTTTCTCTTACTGGGGGCGCATCATTAGTGTGGATTTGGTGTTGCACCGCATCAGTATGCCCAAAATCCTCCTCGTGGAGGGCAAACACCCTGACCCACCTTTGTAGGAGAGCTTTAAAATCTTGCTTCTGTCGTTCAGTCAAGTCATCTCTGCCTTGTAAATCTCTTAGCATCTCGACAGGTGGTTCCATCTGTTCTCCCTTTCCAGCCTCCACAATATCTACTGCGACGGTTCCATCGTCCTGCACAGTCAGGCTTAGATCTGTCTGGCCATGGACGTCAGCACGGTCAACACGAAACACCTTCGCCAGCTTCTGGTAGCGGCCTATAAAGACAGGACAAGAGGTCATATTTTTGATACGAATAGGGAGTTGGCCATGTTTGACAAATCCAACAGTCTTCGCCACAGAGAAAGCCCCCAGCTCCGGCAGTGCTTCGATCAGGCCACAGTAGTCCTGTCCCTTCGGACCCATCCGCGCACGGCCCCAAACCACCACCTCACTTCTGGCTGGAACGGTTAGGCCCCTGCGACTTGCTGGACGCACAAACCCCATGTATCCATCTTCTTCCCCAACTACAGCTGTTCGCTGGCACACAGCAAACGCACCCGTCCAGGCCTTCCTTGTCCCTTGATCCTAGAAAACAGTCTTCAGACCCTCTGGTCGAGTAAGCAGGTCATGCCAACAGGTTGTGATAACATTCATACCAATCAGTAATGGGGCAGTCAGACAATGATCGGCTACAATAACAACCCCCCTCCCTGAAATGTTAGCTCCTCCTATCTCAAAATCCATCACCACATAGCCTTGATAAGGGATGGATAACCCATTAGCCGCTCTAAGTGTCAATTTGTTGGGGGCCGCACCATGTGATAGGGCATCTGCTGGATAGTGTTGGTCGAATACACTCTGTCGCATCAATGTCACTTGTGAACCGGTGTCAATTAGTCCAATGAGGGGCACACCATTTACTTTAACCTCAACCTTAGGGCAGTCACCTACAAATACGGCCCTTTTTCCTGCTTCCCCCAAATTCCCTGCTACTTGGACCTCAGTAGCAGGACAAACTAGTTTAAATCAGCATTGGACTCGGATGGGGGTCTACAGAACCTAGCAATATGTCCAGTGCGGCCACACTGGCGGCAGATAGGCTTACCGTCTGCAGCCCAGGTATTAGGTGTGTAAGACTGGAACCTCCTCCTGAGTGGCGGCTGATTAGGGAATTGTGAGGATCGTGTAGGCTCACCTGCAGCGGGTTGTAACTGCCGGGTCATTTCTTGTCTTAATGCATTCATCTGCCCCCTCACCTCCTGGAGGAGCTCCCGCCGAAACGTCTCAGCCCAGTCATCCTTCCCTGTTACTGATTTAAGCACAGAGGACTCACCTACAGCTTGTGCTACAGTCTCATGCCCAGCCCCAGGCCGCTGTTCACATTCCAGCAACAAGATCTCCTCCAATACAGTGTTGAAAGTGGCATCTGGATTACGGCGTGCATAGGTTCTGATGGTGCTCCTCAGTTCTGCATTACGGAGTCCCATCAAGAGCTGGTCCAGCAGGTGACTTTCATCAAGAGGGCCATCTGGGTCTCGCTTCTTTAGTCTACAGAACAATTCCCGCAGCCTGAGAACATAAGCTCTTAAACTTTCATTGGCAGTTTGTGTGCAGCTAAAAAATTGTAATCTCAAATTTGCCACAGGGACCTGATCTCCATACAGGGTGTCTAAATACCTCAAAATTTTTTCTACAGTATCACGGTCTGGATCCCCCAAAACACAAACCTCCCGTTTAGCTTCATCTGTTAATGCCCCCAATACTATACTGACTTTTTGCTGTTCATTAAACTCCCGTGTCTGCAACAAACTCTGAATTTCTTCTTTCCACTCACCAAATTTTAAATCACCCCCCGCCCCTTTAAATTTAGGGATCCAAGGTGCACCCGCATAAATCGGCATCATCATCATATTCAAGACAACAACAAAAAAAATTATATATCCAAAAGTTATAAACAATTATGCAATTCAGATAACCTGTATGTGAAGCTCCAAACCAAACCCTGCCGACTACTGCCAAATGTGATATAATAATGTAGCCCGACTACGCCACCCAGTTGAAGAGCTGGGACTCTATTAAATAAAACAACTTTAGCTTGCAAGTTCTTTTAGTTTGGTGGGAGCAACACAACAGAATTACCCAAACAACAGTTTAAATATAAAAATGTTTTTATTACAATCTCTGATTTCAATGATAAAAGGAAAGGGCACGCCGTGCACTTGCGCACTCTCAATCAAACTTTTAAAAAAACTGGACATCGGAAAGATACATTCGCAAATTCACTGGAAGTCCGTAGTGAGGCACCCACAGTCCGTAAGCAGTTCCTCTAACCAAGTCCGCCTCGCACCGAACAGCGGCGTCTACACAGCAGCCCACCTGTCACTCACTCGTGCACATCAACACAACACTCACACAACAGAAAAAGAGCCGCCAGTATCTCCACAATAGATAAACACAGCATAAACACACCACGATAGAATAACTATTAATCGTGCAACACTCAATTAGATCACTGCAATTCGTGAATATGTCAATATAGATAGTGGTAAGACTACAGTACAGACTGGAACTCTCCAATCTAGGTGAGACGTGGATCTTAATTCCGGACGAGGCAAGGCACACAATTTAACAAGGCGTCACTCACCAATAAACTGGGAGTAGACGAATCTAGCTCCCAGTCTTGTTGGACAACGCTCCACAACACCAAGACAGACGAAGCAGGGCTCCGGGCAGCACAGCAGCGATCCGAAGCGCAGCAGAGGCGGCAACAAACCAGCGCAGCTAAGAACAGCAGCGATCCCAGCAGAGCAGAGAACGGGAGAAATCCAGCCCAGCAGAGAGTGGTAGAAATCCAGCACAGCAGAAGTCCAACACCGCAGAGAACGGCAGAAATCCAGCACAGCAAAGAACAGCAGAAGTCCAGCACAGCAGAGAACGGCAGAAATCCAGCACAGCAGAGAACAGACGAAGATACCAGCAGCCACCGGGTTGACAGCAAGACCGTCACTTCAACAACTTCAGCTTCGCACCGCGGCAGACAATGGTCAATACAACGGTCGGGGCAATAAAAAAAATAAAAAAACACAATCGGGACTACGTCCAGCAATAAAAAATGTGGAGAACAGGGCTGCACAACAGAGTTCACGGGTCACAGGCACACTGTTGTCAGTTCCTTGGCCTTTTTGAACCGTCTATGATTTGACATGGCAATTACCAACAGCTGTCCATCTACTAATCAGCCGTGATCCGGGCTTCCGAAAAATACAGGGGCGTTACCCCACACTCTAAATCATGATCAAGTGTCACACAAATAAAGCGTGAATAATAAAACAAAATCACACCAAATCAAAAGAAAAAAGGAAAACAGTGTCAAATACACACACAAAAACACACATAAAATAAACCATAGTCTCTTCATATGACACGGACTCAAAGTGTAACTTACCCAAAGCGGACGGTCACGTCGGGGCAAAGCTCAATTTCTATGTCCGGGCGGACTCCGTACTCGGTGTCACACAATAGAATCCGGTTTAAAAAGGCAGCTGGGATCTGCGCCAACTTACCGGGAAGTTCGCTGGTCCGTGGTCCGTGATGCTATAGGTGTCCAGCTCAGCTCTACTTGCATTAACGTTAGCTGTCTGGGGGGAACATACAATTGCCGTTACTGGCGCTACTAGCTAGCTAAAGTTACCAGTGAACATATACGTTAGCTAAGAGACTGTGGGACAGAGTTAGCTGGTTAGCTTCCTTGTCAATAACTAACTAAGTTAGCTAAGTTATTTTTTTCCCTGTTTTTTTTATAACTAAGTTAACTTACAGTACTATAGAAATTAAACTTGATATACAGATATAACATTAACGTTATATCTGATAGATAGACTAACGTTACTTTGAATTATATCAAAGTTTCATTTCTATAGTGTTGTCCCCATGAAAAGATATAATAAATTATTTCTAAAAATGTGAGGGGTGTAAATCACTTTAGAGATATAACTTACTGCTAGCTAAGCTAACTAATTACCTCAGCTAGCAGTCGGGACTGCAACCAGTGCAGTTTTAAAAAATTTAATCAACTTACCGTTTTGTGTCTGAAAACGGTTCATTCACCAAAGGCTTCAACTTCCTTGCTAGAACATCAGTTGACGAAAATACAGCTGAATGGGCTATATGCACGCATAACTTCCGCGTTTGACGCAAGGATGCTCTTGCGTTTCCGGTTGGGGAGATTTAAAGCGGAGGAAAACCGAGGAAAACGGGATTATGGCCGTCTTCAAAATTTACTGTCCTCTCGTCTTTGAAACGAAACTTTAATACGTTTAGATGTAATTTTATATATAGTTATGTTTATTTAATATAATAAACAAAGAAGCATAAACAAAATGAGGGGTGTCTGTTTTGTCTGTTTTTGTGACTAACGTTTCTTTAGTATAGCAATAGAGTATAAAAACCAATATAAATTCTCGGTATAGCATTGGACTCTATGATCGGCGGAAGTAATCCAGCATCCTTAGACCTTCACCGGAAATACCGACGTGCATAGAGCCCATTCTTTGTCTTGCTCTGTCTAAAAAAATTCAAAGTCATCAATACCACTCGGTCAACTCAAAACTGATATACTAGATTTTTGGTGGTTGCATGGATGACGTCAATGCGTTGCTAAGAGGCGGGGCATGGCTGCAGTGTAAATGCAGACTTTCATGCTAATGAATAAAATACTTTAAAATATATTTGGTGTTTTTTTTTAACTAAACAGTAACGGCAATCATACAAACGAATATACTTTAAAAATATCTGTCATCAAGATAAATGCAGACTATCATGCTGATTAATAAAATACTTTTATGTCCGTCTATAAAATAAATACAGACTAAATTTTAAATGAGGTTTGATCAAATGTATGTTAACATCATGGACACAACAACAACATACAGAAATCAGCAAACTATATGTATGGCTAAAATTGTTAGCTAATATTCACTAACAAATGTCAATCAACGCTAATGCAGTTTTAAATGAGGATTCATCAATTGTACGTTAACATCAGGGACACAACAATAACATCAAGAAATCGCGAACTTACCCGTGACTCCATCTGGAAAATAATTCGCGATTTCGTATTTTGTTTTTGACCCTCTGAACTTGTCGTTGGACACGCCTCGGCATGACACGGGAAGCGCCAGGCTGCAGCAGTCTTGTTAGTAATAGACAAAACTTGATGATATTGAGTTGTTTGAGCTCAAACACATAATTACAATTAGATAGGTCATTAAAAAGTACAGTTTACTTAGAATTCATAATTAATGTAAATAAATGACACATGTTTAAGTAATACAAACTCAGTTTGTTTGAGTAGAAACTACTGATTGGACTTAAACACACAATTACAATAAGAAAGGACATGAAAAAGTTCAGCTTAATCAGAATTAACAAGTAATGTCAATAAATTAGGTACATTTAAGTAATATGAACTCAATCTCTTTGAGTTGAATCAAAATCTGGGTTTACAGATATGTCGCTGCGTGTCAGCCATACAAATCACGAAAAAATTATTTAGCCTTTAATTGTTGCTTCAAAGACACAGCATGCCTTGTTGAATTCACCTTACAATAACTTTAATTGAAATTTTGTGTGAAAAAAAACTTTAAATAGGCTACAATAAATAAACTACAATATTTATAATTTAATAAAATATGGGGCCTACATTTGGACACAGATTTATCCTTACAATAATTTTGCCTGCTCATCAGGCTTGCTATCCGACACTCTCCATATGAAAGAGGAACATTAACACCTTTGTCCAGCAACTGTCCCTCCAACCCCCCCACAGGCTATCGGAGTCTGAGGCTGACTTAACACAAAGAGAAGTCGCAATTCACACTTAAATCGCTATTCTAGACAGTGTTGATAATGAAGGAATTAAATGGAATTACATGTAGCCTAGTGATATTTCTGTCATAAAAGTTTATTACTAAATATTTCATTATTTCAATAATTGATGAAATAAAACTGGTTTGGGGCAGCTTTTTCCAAGCAAAACTATAATCTGAAAAAACGCTTGTTCATTTGTTGTCATGAACAAAATGTTCAACTCAATATTAAAGTCTAGGGATCTTTGGATCCTTACAACCAGGCATGCAATTTGTGAATTAAGTTTTTATTTTATTTTGTATTATTCAAATAAATATCGAAACACGGAGCTTCGTGGTAATGCTGCTAAATTAAATAACATTTGTAGAATAATTATGAACTTAAATGAAACAATATCGCAACATTTCGACAAATACATTATTTGATCTGTTTTTACATTTTAATTCAGGGCGATTTAGCCTACATAGCGAGATTTTCACCCTTGTCTTGTCCTTTTCTCATTGGGAAGCGCTTACATTACATGTTTGAGTAGATCCTCTGTACCTCTCGTTTTCATATGGATTAGCCTACATAATCAGATAACATTTATTAGCCTAAATATTTTGACATTTAAAGGCTTTAGACATAGCCGATTTCTTATCGTGACTGAGCTGAAGTGGCTTTCGGTTCATTTTTGTGACGCGCAGTTCCCGGAGACAGAGACGACAGATATACTGTTTTTGTCGTTAGCCTAATATGAATAGGCCTACAAGTTTACAGTTTTGAACGATGTAAGCTACTCTACTCTTATCTGTATGACCAAAAAATTACG